CAATACTAATGACCTGCGTTTTCATTTTCCTATCATATATACACTAATTATTCATCTTATAGCCATAGATCATGTTTACACATGCTAGGAAAAGTGCAATATTTTTACTTAATCACTATGTCTAGTTGCATTCCTACCTCTTTGCTCATTATTGCTATTAGCACTCTATTACAATTTGTTAAATCTTCTAAAAGATTAACTTAAAAAAATCAATACTAATGACCTGCGTTTTCATTTTCCTATCATATATACACTAATTATTCATCTTATAGCCATAGATCATGTTTACACATGCTAGGAAAAGTACAAAGTGTTTTGTTAATATATATTTTTATCAATGTTTGCAACACTACCAGGTAAGCACTATTATTATTTCCAATTTCCCAGTGAGGTAACTGAGCTTAAGTGGCTTGCCCTGGGTCACATGAGTGAGTAGCACAGTTGGGATATAAACTCAGACAATCTGGCTCCAAAGCCACGCTCTGAACTGCTTTGCCATTTCACCTCCCAGAGAAAAAGGAAACTCTTAACCTTCTTTAGCCATATGTTTATCAATTTATTCCTTGCAATTTCTGAATGCATCCATTATTTCCTACACTAAGGGGAAAAAATCAAGACTCTCACCTGAAATGAATATTTTTGAGAGTCATGAAAATTAAAATCAACTAAATTATAGAATCATTATGGAAAACAATAATCTTTAAGTGTATGGTTACACACAGTAGGATCTCTATGCTGTACCCTGTCCATTAATGCCTTTACAGAAAATCTTTCCCATCTTGCTATAATCCCTGGGTATCTATATTACAGTTTCCCACTAAAAGCAAAGAATTTCAACTCCACAAAGAAAGGCAAACCTTCTGGTCATCAAGATCTTGTTCTAGCTGTAACTGAGTCTCTAAACGTTCCACCTGGGTAGTTACTGATTCCTGTACATCCAGAAAACACTTCTGAGTTGTGTTTAAGAGCCCCAGCAGTTGTTTGTTTTGGTTGGGAGACAGATCTTGTGCATATTCAGAAATGAAGAACTGCACATCAAAGGCAGTAGTTTCCAGCTGCATTTTGGTATGTCCAAGTTCTTTTATTACATTCTGTGAACAAAGTAGTACAAGTTACCAATAGAGAGCTAAGCCATGATAAAGTTTACATTAACAATAATATTTTTAAAATATGTTTCTTATATCAGTGACTGAAAGGTTTATTGACATTTTTGTTATTCGTCAAAAATCTATTGTCTAGTAATAGACATAAATAAATTAATTATTTAAATACTATGGTAGCTGGTATATAAAAGATAAATAACCCCTCTAAGAATATTTTGTCTTTACCTGCCACATCACACTTAAAATGTAACTCTGACAAAAGGCAAAGATCCAATTTAGATACATTTAGCACACTGAAAAGGAAACATCTACATTAAAATATTTCTTGCTAATATTTACAACATCCATGAAACTATGGTAACACATAAACAAGACTACGGGAAATCTGAAATATGAATGAAATGGGCCAGGATTTCAGTTTTCTGACTTCCCAGGCTGGAACCCTAACCACTGTTCATGAGGCATTCTGTTTAAATTAAGAACTTGGGAAAAAAAATCCAGCATGCCAAAAGCAACTAACATATAAATACAGCCATGCACTATATAACAATGTAACAATATTTCAGTCAATGATGAACCACATGTATGATAGTGGTCCCATAAGATTATAATACCATATTTTTACTGTTCTTTTCTGTGTTTAGATATGTTTAGATACACAAATTCATTGTGTTACAGTTGCTTACAGTATTTAGTATCATAACATGCTGTACAAGTTTATAGTATACAAACAATATGTTATACCATATAGCTATACCTTCTAGGTTCTTATAATTACAGTGTATGATGTTTACACAGAGACAAAATTGCCTAATGACACATTCCTCAGATGTATCCCCATCATTAAGAGATATATAACTGTATAATTATGTATTTCTATTATGTATTTCTGTGACTATTTTTATATGACTAATTACTACTGTTACCCATTTATGTAACTAACACATAAATACATAAATACAAATCTCAACATGTCAGTGGTAGTAAGAGTATGATAAGGCATTTGGGATAGGAGTAGAATGGCATCCATAAAGTTATGATTATTTTATAGTTGTAAACAAACATCTCTAGAGACAAAGAAAGAAAATAATCCCTGATAGCCTTAGCAAAGTCATATTTTCTAAGGACTAACTGTATTAAATCCATAGGTTTTTTGAATATATTATGTCATATTTATTTTGATACTTGCCTTGAGAAACTCCAAACTTTTCTTTACATGTTCAGTATCTTGAACATTCACAATCGCAATATCCTTCACAGATTTGCTCTTCTCTGATATCCAATC